ATCCATGGCTAAAACTTCACTGAGATCATAGGTACTAACATTGCTACTAGAGTGGGCGTTTTCGGAAGAAGAAGCGTTGTCGTTCTTCTTTCCTTTCCAGCCACCGTGGTTACAATTTTTAGTAGCTTTTTGCTTTGCGAGGTCGTCTTTGATTTCAATTCCAATGTCATAAACGGCTTTGAAAGTATTCAAATTATGTTGATATTTTAAATGCTTCGAATACTTCTCTTGGAGATTTTTGATAAACATCCTTTTGGATTCTTTTTCGGTGGGCACCTCAATCATCTTAGCGGAAGTTTCTCTCCACTTATTGAAGAAAGAAGTAAAGCCTTCATTCTCTTTTTGTCTTAGCATCTCGAGTTGTCTATAATCGGTTTCGACTTGAATATTACACTTGTATCTACCAATGAAAGCGTTTTCTATCGATTCCCAGGTAGAGGTTTTCTCTTTGTCAAGAGAAAAGAACCATTGTTGACAAACGGTTTCAAGAGATAAAGAAAACAAGGAATGAAAGACTTTCCTATCAATCCCCTTAATATTCATTATAGTTTCAAAGGCTCTTAAGTGAAGATAAGGATTATCTATTGCCTTGAACTTAGGGATGTCAGTGGCATTGAACTTATGCGGAAGAAGTTCTGATCCTTGTCCAGCGAGACCCCTTGTGAACTAATGCCCTGGAACTTGTAGTCACTAGATAGCTTGCTCAAGCTTTCTTGCATGAGCTATATTTGTTGTTGCTTCACAGGGTCATTGATTTTGGGGGTTAAAGCCTTCAACGCCTCAGTCACGCTAGTCAATTGATTCCTAAGCTTTTTTTTAAAATCTTCTTAGCTTTCCTCTTTTGAAGAATCGGTTTATCAAAAAGTGAGACTTGAACAAAGAGGTTGTCCTTGATTAATCGCCCTTCTCTTCTTGACCAAGTACTGTGGAAAGGGAAATTAGGGATATTCACTGTTAATTATTTGACCCAAACTTGATTCAACATGCATGGATGGAAGAAGGTAGAAAGAATGAAGGTCGTGATATGGAGAAAGCATGATGTGGATAATGGAAAGATGATGGAGAGATATGAAAAAGAAATTAGGAATAGAATGTACCCCCAACTCCACTGATGAAAAAAACCGACTCATGCATGAACCTAAGACATGGTCATGGTGACATATACCCAAAGTGTGTGCTAAGACTAATGGGTGTAGTGAGCGTAGGTGACATATTAAGACTCTTATGTAAGACCATGTGGCTAGACTATGTGACTAGACTCAATTAAGGATTTAACGGAGGTATTGTTACTAACAAAACAATCGAATTGATTAGCAAACTGTTTAATTAGACTCACAGTGATGACTCAAGCATAATACCGAACTGTCGTCAAAACGACAGGACTGGCATCGCACTGTGCAGTGTAGCGCCAGATGACATAGCTATCGCCAGGCGCTGCACTCCACAAAGTGGCGCTACAGTCTAAATCTCGGCGCCATTGCTGGAACGTTGATCTGGGACTGCTTTCGAGATTATTACTCTGCAGGGTATACCTAAAGTCGTACTAAGTCAATTTTGATTGAATTATTAGACTTTAATTACTCAAATTAATTAATTAATTAGGCAAATTTCTTTTAGTCATTAATCAATTTATTTAGTCTTAACACAAGTCAAACAAACGGTTAGGAAAAAACACATAGAGTAGGCACAACAAATAATGCACAATTAGTCAAGTAGGCACAACATGATGCAATGAGTTTGCAACCTAACGAACCATGGCTCTAGTTCTCTAAAGTTTGGGATATGGGTTAGTCAAAGAGGGTCCATGGTTAATTGTCCGGATGCACTGCACGGAAGCCTTACCTTTAAAGGGTTGGCGCGAGTGGAAGGGACACCGCGAGTTAAAAACTCGCTTCCATGGTTTGGTGAATTCAACATTCTCGGATGTACCCTTTGTTGCACAGAGCGTTCAATCAGGTAGATGGAGCATGAATTCCCAGAGGATTATATCCATATGTAGAACACATATGGGTTTCAGAAAAGTAAGAAAAACTCAATCAGGAAGTAGGATCGAGCAAACAGTGCTAAAAACTAGTCAAAATTAGAATGCATATTTCTGGCTCGGTATTGGAAGAACTCGGCGCCGCAATTTGGCTTTGGCGCCTCGCGACAGAAGCTTTCGCCTGGCGCCAGAGTCAAATCATCGGCGCTAGACTCTGTTTTCTTACGCTAGTTCCTACATGCCTCAGCAGCTTTATGTGCTTGATAAAATTTTCAAGCTTCGCGCAACATTATTTCGATCCTAGTTGTGAAATATATTCCTCAAATTTCCTACGTGTAATAAATCCTATGTTTTAAACTCATTACGGGTGGTCTTTCCAATGAGATCTTTTTTTATGCATATGACAATAATGTTAATCAAAATTACACACATGAAATACTAAGAACTTTTCGAGTCTCATCCACTCATTCTAAATAATTGCCAAAATAAATTTTAGGAATTGAAATAGAAATCCTCCCCAGTGGAGTCGCCAAAAACTGTATGGAATATTTCAAGCATTATCCCAAACTTGAACCCCACTGTGATCATACACTAAAGTACGGTGGCATCCAAAGGGAAAGAAGATAGAGCAAAAGAGTCACTAACAAGTTTTAGGAACTTGTAAACCGTTCACGAGGTGAAGGTTACACCCCTTAACGACCCAGGAGATCGTTAACTCCAATAGGTCTGGAACCATGACTGGTAGTTTGGGGGTGAAGGTACAAATCCAACCTAAAAGAGATTGAACCTACCCTAATAATAGGCCTCTACTTTATTCTGATCGTATTCATGTGCGCCATCTGACTAACATGCAATCAATAGGATTAACCCTAAACCTGTTTAATCTATGTTGGTTGAATACCAATGCACAAATAAATCTATTATTGGCGATCACTTGAATTATAACCACATTAACCCTAAACAAGATTATTAATTATCTTATATAATTGTGATTACAAGTACCAATTCTTTTTAAACATGCATAAAAGGCATGATCAAGCAATAAATAAATATAATCAAGCAACATAATAATAATCAGAACAATTATAAAAATAATCATGTTAAAGCATAATAATAATAGCAAGATTCTAGGCATGATAATAACAAGATTAATAACAAACCCTAGCATGTCACTAAATATCAAAGATTAAATATTTAGCTCTGACATGATACAAACAAAAATATTAGGTTATAATATAGGAAGCATCGTAGGAATCATAATAAGAATATTTGATATTATAACCTTTTTCCTAAACATAATACTAGGAATCATTGTTGTCATTCAAAACATCAAGCATCCTAACATGATACTAGGAATCATAATAACAACCTAAACATGATTTCTATATCATAGTATCAATAAAAAAATTAAAGCACTTACTTGGATGCCTCGTATCTCTTTCTAATAACAAAATACACGCGTTAGTAACTTCAAGGAAAATAATAAAAACAAACAATTGAATTAAATAATTGAAATAGAGATTTGGGACCAAACCCTCAGAAATTAAAACCTTTCACGTCTAGGGCGAAGGCAACTTCAAATTTGGCTAGGTGTTTCTAGATCTTGTGAATGTGGAATTTTGTATGCAAAAAGCTAGAGAGAGAATATCTAGAAATTCTTGAAAACTAGAGAGAATAAGAAAATTAATAGTTGTTGATGAGAATTGTTGATTGAAAACGGAGGCTTTAGGAGGCTGTTTATAGAGAAAATCAGCCGGATGGATAGAAAAGCGAATCAGAGTTTTGAAGAGAATAAAACGAGTTAGCGCCAAGCGCCAAGTATTAGCGCCAAGCGCTAATCCTTTCGTCAGGCGCTAGAAAACAATTTCACGCGTTTTCTTAATTTTGATAAAATTTAGCCGTACAGAAGGGCAAAATCGTATTTTCCTTAAAAACACTTCTTTCATTCGAATTAAAACTCTAAAAAGTAAACCAAAGTCAATTTATCAATGCTAATTAAATTAGGAATGAAAATAACCTTCTAGAAGAATCTAGAAAACTAAAATCAATTCTAATTGCATTAGAAATGATAAATCAATATCAGGCCCTCCTCTAGATCATTGGGCCGCACATAAAGATCAAACTGGGCCCAGTTTAGTAATTTGGTCATAACTTCCTCATTATTCATCGGAATTGGGCTTATAATATATCATTGGAAAGCTCTTTTCAAGCCCTACCCAACTACACTATTATTGGACCCTTTACATGGACCAAACTAAACTGGATTGGCTGTTTTCTTAAAATAGGTTTTCAAAAACAGAGAGAAAGAAAAGAAATAAAAACTAACCGTAACCCTAGACTTTCCACACTTTCACTTCATTCGATTATGATTCGACGTGAAAGGTACTCATCACCGGGTTTGGGGAGACATAAATGGGTGTCTACATGTTTCTTATTGTAGCCGACGCCAATTCTACTTTTCTCAGGAAAGCTGCAATGGAAAACGGAATTCATGATGTAAAGATTATTTGTTTTTTGCCGATGATAGTATATTATTTGCTAGAGCAACGGTTAGTGAATGATCGGTGATAGCTAACATTATCAACAAATATGAGAGAGCTTCTAGACAAAGTGTCAATCTAAACAAAACTCATGTTGTCTTTAGTATATTTGTAAATTCTGATCGGCGGAAGGAAATTGTAGATACTTTAGGAGTAAAAGAAGTAGAAAGACACGAGAAATATCTTGGATTACCAATAATTATTGGTAAAACTAAGAAACTGATTTTGCAAGCTTGAAAGAACGAATATGGTGGAAAATTCAAGGTCGGCAAGGGAAGTTACTATCAAGGCCGGGAAAGGAGGTTCTTATTAAGGTGATTGCCCAAGCAATCCCCACATATATTATGAGTATCTTCAAAATTCCGAAGGGTTTAATCGATGAGATTCACTCAATGCTAGCTCGCTTTTGGTGGGGTTCCAATGCATCAACGAGGAAAATGCAATGGCACGGTTGGGAGGCTCTTTGTAAGCCAAAATCAATGGGAGGCATGGGATTCTGTGATCTTAAGGTCTTCAATCAAGCTTTACTTGCAAAACATATATGGAGATTACATTCAATGCCTAACTCTTTGGTGCACTCCTTGTTGAAAGCCCGGTATTTCAAGAATGATCAAGTCCTTGAGGCTTACAGAGGACATGGCCCAAGCTATTCTTGGTGTAGTCTTTGGGGTTCAAAATCAGTTCTCCTTGATGGTTTGAAATGGAGAGTTAGCTGTGGAGAAAAGGTGAGGGTATGGATGGACTCATGGCTTCCTGGGAAACCAAATACAATAGCCCCAAACCATGGAACTAACTTTGATCCAGACCTGAAGATGGCTGACTTGATGTTCCATAAAAGTGTAGAATGGAATATGAATGTGCTAAATGCTTTATTCTCAAGCGAAGACCATGATAAAAACTAGCACTCTCAATGTCTATGCATCAACATACTTTCTATTGGTGGCTTACTAAAAATGGAGAATATAGTGTCAAAACGGGCTACTGGATGGGTAGACTTGGTGTTACTTCTGATGATAACGCTGTAACCTATGAATATGATAAAGAGCTTTGGAATCTAGTTGGTGTGGTTTAAAGACAAGCAACCAAAACTAAATCACTTTGTTTGGAAGGCCTGTAGGGGAATCCTTGTTGTGAAGGAGCTGCTGTTTCATCGTCACATTTCTCCAAATGCAACCTGCACTTTTTCTAAGCCGGCTAAGAGAAAAGTCTTTGAAGCTTTTTTACAAGAGAGATTAAAAAACTTCAAGAGTTACTTGAGGACGAGATGAATCCATAAAAAGAAGGAGAAGACCAAAGAAAAATGTGCCTGCTGATGGAGAAAAAGAGAAACCTGATAAGAAACCGTGGGATTTATATCCACAAATAACGGTAGAGGATTGGGAGAAGTTTGTGGAAAAATCTTCCACTAGGACCGTACTTGTATGTTTTTATTTATCAATAGAGTCGGCTACTCATATTTAGTTTCTTACAATGACTGATGCTAACATATATTTCTGAATGTGTAGGAAAAAAGCGAACAAGCTAGAATCAATGCCGGAAAGAAATTGTATAGCCATCATATGGGTTGTAAGACCTTTGTGGAGTCAAGACCAAAGTGGGTCAAAGCGGGTCTATACCCCAAATCCATAATGTCATCAACTGATAAACCACTTTCTTCCACGGTCACAACTTTGGTTAATCGTGCAATTGACTGGTGGTGTGCTATGCATGGGATGGACAAGAAAACCGGCAAGTATATCATGCAACCGGATAAGAAAGTAGTAGCAGATGCACTTGTAAGAAAATTTTTCTACTTATTAATTATATTTCCTTATCAAGTACATTGTACTTAGATCTGATAAATTTTTGTGTTACTAAAGCTCGAGTATACTTCGGAAGTGATTGAAGGCAAGCTGACTCCAAGCATCGAACATGATCCTTTCACCTTAGCTTTGGGAAAACCATACCACCCTAGGCGAGTAATTGGTTTTGGCGGGAAACAACTAGGGTGGGAGAAGGTGATGGGTTTAGAATACACCAAATCAGGAAAAAGCAGATCAAGTGTTAATTCGCCACATCGGATTGATGAGAAGGAAAAGGAATCAATTAAGGCGGAGATACGCGCGGAGCTGCAAGAACAGATGCAAAGTCAATTCAATGCCATTCTGAAGCACATGAACTTGCCGCCTTTGCCATTTCCCTTGAGTACCTCAATAGACTCATGTAGTCACCCAGGAGGCCCCGAGGACGATCCAGTAGTTGAGAGAGAGGTAATTTTAGTACAAGGACGAATTACGTCATATGAAGTTCGTCAAATGAGGTCGTTTGCATGTTTAATTATTTTACTTTTGCAGGATACTAGTCCTATGGATGCAAAGTCGTTGAAGAGAGCAAATCCGATGCCTGAACCTTTCCCTGATGTTAAGGTGAACTTCACTACATAATCAGCTTTTCTAATGTTAGGCTTTCGTTTGTTATTTCATAACTTATGTCCTAACTCCTAATCAAATATGTAGGAAGAGACGCCTTGTGAGCTTCTTCACCCCGGGGAAAACACCGGTGGACAGTTGCAGTTGGTGGGGTATGTTAGTGCACAACCTTTTGACAAGGTCCATATTAAGTCTAATACTAGCACCCATTACATCTCGGTCGGGATCGATTCTATAATTGCTGGGTTTAAATTTTACCACTACCGGTGCCTAGAGAGGAATATGATTTTTTTAAGCTGCGTGACGTGACCGGGAGCTTTGTGCAATGGCCACGTGATCGGTTGAGGTTGGTAGGAAGGGTAAGTAAACACTACTTGTATGTAACTACTTGTATGTATAGTAACTAGATTAACATGTGCTTTGTGCAATAACCATGTTCTTTTATGCTACTAGATTACTATGGAAAATCAGTCCGCTAAAAGGAAGAAGGTGGAGAAGCCAAAATCTTAGGAAGAAGGTCCTCCAAAGATGGAACAAGGACAAGTGTCGAAGAAGAGTTCGAGAACTTCATGTACTCCACTGGTAGAAGCCAATGTCCTTAGGTCGCTTTCAAAAGCATGTACTTTTCTTCACAACCGTGTTAGTGAGTTGCCTACGGGTACACATATTCAAGTGAACTTGCCTAAGGCATTGTTCCACTATGATGAGGATGCGATCGCATACATTTCTAGAGAGGTTGTTACGGAATTTCTAACCGGTTCCATGCTTAACATTTCCATCATTCAAACTTTCATGAGGTACATTAACAAGACTATTTCTAAACATATTGTATTTTTGATATTTTCGTACCAAAACAATGCAACTAGTAATTACTTGCACACATTACTTTCTTGAAGGTCACTACAGGAGCTCCTTGCTAGTAAACCCGATGGTGAAGCAGCAGTTGGGTGGTTATGCCCCGAGCAGACATTCGTAACAAATGCTTGCATAACCCTCGTGATGTGATAGATTACCTTGAGCGGGGTATTAGAGAATCAATGCGTGCGGGAAATAAGTTCATATTAGCCCCTTGCTTTGAGGAGTAAGTTTAAATATGTCACTCTTAATTTGTTTGTTAAGTATATATGTTGACGCATAACAATTGATGGATTTATATTTGCTTTAATATATATGTAGTCTACATTGGAGCCTTATGGTGATTTGTGTTTCCAATAACACAATCTACTACTTTGACTCGGCTCGTATATGGCCACCAAGGAAGTTGCTAGTGAATAACCTATTGAATAGGTACATACCGCTTCCTATATATTGTTTTGTATCATCACCTAAGTGATTGAGTGGCTATGTTCCTAAATTGTTTATTTTTTATTTTTTGAAGTTTTATAAAGAAGTTGAATTATCGTTCGGTTGCGGGTCCCACGTGGAAATATTCGAAGGTAAAGCCTTGATATATTGATTTATTTAATAAAATTGCCTTGAGTTATGGCTATGCATGACTTTTTTAACTTTGTGTCATGTTAGTGTGCGCAACAAGACAACGGCGTTGATTGTGCCCTGTACGTATGATGAGGTTTATGCATGACATAGTCAATAGGTGCACTGAAGCCCAACACCTTGAGGAGGTACTTGTTTTTACTTTTTTCGGTTTGATTTCGGGTAAAAGCCGTCCTAAAACTCATTAGAATGATAATTTTCTATGATTCCAAACATTAGACACCTAAGACTAGTTTTAATTGACATGTTATGATAAAGAAATAGCTCATTAGATAAGAAATGTAGAAATCGGGCAAAGTAGTAGTGAAATAGGCGATTTTGGGTAAAAGCCGTCCTAAAACTTAGTAGAATGATAACTTGCTATGATTTCAAATATTAGACACCTAAGACTAGTTATAATTGACATGTTATAATAAAGAAACAGATCATTAGATAAGAAATGTAGAAATCGGGCAAAGTAGTAGTGAAATAGGCGATTTTGTGTAAAAGTCGTCTTAAAACTTAGTAGAATGCTAATTTGTTATGATTTCAAACATTAGACACCTAAGACTAGTTATAATTGACATGTTATGATAAAGAAATAGCTCATTAAGTAAGAAAAGTAGAAATAGGGCAAAGTAGTAGTGAAATAGGCGATTTCTGGTAAAAGCTATCCTAAAACTTAGTAGAATGCTAATTTGCTATGATTTCAATAATAAGACACCAAAGACTATTTATAATTGACATGTTATGATAAAGAAATAGCTCATTATATAAGAAATGTAGAAATTGGGCAAAGTAGTAGTGAAATAGGCGATTTTGGGTAAAAGACGTTCTAAAACTTAGTAGAATGCTAATTTGCTATGATTTCAAACATTAGACACCTAAGACTAGTTGTAATTGACATGTTATGATAGAGAAATAGCTCATTAAATAATAAATGTAGAAATCAGGAAAAGTAGTAGTGAAATAGGCGATTTTGGGTAAAAGTCGTCCTAAAACTTAGTAGAATTCTAATTTGCTATGATTTCAAACATTAGACACATAAGACTAGTTGTAATTGACATGTTATGATTGAGAAATAGCTCATTAGATAATAAATGTAGAAATCGGGCAAAGTAGAAGTCAAATAGGCGATTTTGGGTATAAGCCGTCCAAATACTTAGTAAAACCTTCTTCTGATGCGATTAAAGACCTTAGACACCCAAGACTAGTTAATATGGGTCTGCTCTAAGGACAAATTATGTCATTTTATACAAAATGCAGAAAATGGGAAAGTGAGCACCCGAGGCAACTACAGCTCCCGAGGCAACTACAGCACCCAAGGCAACATCCTCGGGTTATGCCAGGCAGCTGCAAGTAGCCACCAGGCAACTGCAACAGCTGCCAGGCAGCCGCAGCAGCAGCCTAGGCAGGTGCAGCAGGTGCAGCAGCTACCAGGAAGCTGCACAGGCCGCTGCAGCAGCAGCCTAGGCTATTGCATAGGCAGCTGCACAGGCAGCTGCAGCAGCCACCAGGCAGCTGCACAGGCAGCTGCAGCAGCCACCAGGCTGATACCAAGGCAGCTGCTGCAGCAGCCCAGGCAGCACCCAAGGTAGCTGCAGCAGCCGTGCAAGCAACTGAGCCGCTCCAAAAGCCATAGGAAGCAGCCCAGGGAGTAATTTATTGCCCTATTCATGGCACCTCATGCTATTTTGTGTAATTTTTGCGTACTTGTTAGTGTATAAGCTAAATAAGTCACTTACGCTGATTTTTGTTAAAAATTGTACTAAAAATTAGTTGGGTGCTCATTTGATGTGATATCATAAATTACATGCCTAAGACTAGGTATTATGGGCATGGTTTGAGAAAAAAATATTCAAACGAAAAAAAATGTAAAAAATGGGCAAGTAGAAGTGGAATAGGCGAATTTGGGTAAAAGCCGTCCTAAAACTGAGTAAAATGATCTTTTGCTATGATTTAAAACAATAGAAACCTAAGACTATTTAATAATGATAAGTTATGATAAAGAAATAGCTCAT